ATTAAAAAAAATTAAAAAATGAAAGTCTGTCATTTGCAACAACCTGATAGAACTAGAGATGATTACATTAAGTGATGTAAGATGGGCACAGGGAGACAAGTACCACATGATCTCACTCCTATGGAATCTAAAAAAGTTGATGTCATAGAAGTTGAGAGCAGAATGGTTGTTACCAGGGGTGGGGAAGGTAGTGAACTGGGAGGGTCTGGGAAAAGTTGATGTACCGTACTAAGAGACAGTTAAATAGGAGCAAGAAGTTGTGACCCTATTGCATAGTAGGGTGATGACAGATAACAGTGATGATATATAGTATGTTTCAAAAGCCCAACAGAAAGGATTTTAAAAGTTTTCATTATACAGAATAATAAATGTTTGAGGAGATAGACAAGTTTAACTTGATTTAAATCTTCCGCAATGTGAAGGGGTGTTAAATTGATACATGCCAATAATGATTGTTTTTATTCTATATATCAGTTAAAAATAAATTAAGGGGCTGGGGCTGAGGTTCATCAGTAGAGTACTTGCCTTACATGTATTAGGCACTGGGTTCGATTCTCGGCATCACATAAAAATAAATAACCAAAATAAAAGTATAAATAAAATAAAATACAATAAATTTAGAATAAAAAATATTTAAATTAATACGTTAGATATTCTGAAATTAAAGTGGGCAATAAAAAGAGCCAATCTACATATTAGAGTGGGTCTTTAATCCATATTCAGAACATACACAATATAATAATGCAAGAACTGTGAGTGAAATTAAAATAGGGTATAAAGTACCAAGACAGAAAAGAAATCCAAATTCAAGTAGAAAATTAAAGTGTAAACTTTAATTTTAAACTTATTCAATAAAATAGTATAAAATCAGGGAATATGACTAGAATAAAAGTGAAAAATAAACTATGGTACTACAAAAATGTCTTTTAATTGTAAAAAGTAATGAAATGGAAACGTAAACAGAAACAATTCTTCATATGCTTAAATATGCACAGCAATACTCAGTTTGTAAATCACATACACATGAGTCTGTGTGACACTAAGAATTTTTAGTATTCTTAAATCTGAAAGCAATTGTTATTGAATGTCACTTGATTAATTATAGGCATTGTTCACAAACTCCACATCTTGTTTTCTATAATTGATTGGCGTTTATGGAGAAAAGAAACCACTCAGAGCTCACATTTGACCCCTTGCTTTATGTTTGTCATTGCCTATGGTGTGTGCCTGTGACTGAGCATTGATGGTGCCTCCCTGTCTGACCCCAACACTGCCTGTTGAGATGAGTGCTCCTGATGCTTGATGGTTCCCCTGTGACTCCTGGCTCTGGCTCCAGCTCTCAGCTGGCTTCTAGCTTGCTGGCCTGGAAGTCTGGCAGCACCTAAAGTCTGCTTGTGCCAGTTTATCTGAAACGTTCGGAGCCAGCTTCTGACTGGTGAATCTGCCATTCAAACAGCTGGCTTTTGAACTCTTAGAAAATGAAACACAGGACATTGCTAACAATAATGCTTCATTTAAAACAAAATGTGAAAAACAAATAATTATAGGTGAAATTTGGGTAGACCCAAGTGGATAGAAGACATTGTCTAGGTAGTCACTACTTTAAAGCAAACAGGAATGCATTCATTGTGTTTCTATTACCTCGAAAATTCTCTGGTCTCTAAGTTTAAAAAAATACTCATAGCAAAGGGCATTAACTTTAAACATACTCCTAAGAATGAATCTCTTCCTTCCTTCCTTCCTTCCTTCCTTCCTTCCTTCCTTCCTTCCTTCCTTCCTTCCTTTCTCTTTCTTTCTGTTTCTCTCTTTCTTTCTGTTCTTTCTTTCTTTTTTCTCCCCCTTTCTCCCTCTCTCCTTCCTTCCTTTATTCTTCCATTCATGTTTCTAGTTTCTAAAATGTCTATGCAAATTAGTAGGTTCATTTGTAAGAAGTGATGTATCCTTGACCCTGTTATGAATTGACAGGTAAGGAGATTGGTAATTGAACAAAAATGGCAGGAAGCTAGAATAACAAGTATCTTTACAAAATATTTCAAAATTGAAACTTTTCTTTGATTACCTCAGCCACTTTTTAAAAATCTCTCTTCTTAATCTAAGTAATCTGTATTTTCTTTTAAAATAAGCATGGCTATATGTGATTTAATACTGTGGCTCAACGATTTGTAAATACTTTTATCTTCTGTTTATTTTTGTATTCAGGCATGTAAGAGTGAAAATATATGTACTTTCAGCCAATTCCACTATTTACTCTATAATAATTTTTGAAAGATCTATAGTATTGTAAAGTATATTGTAGCTCAACTAATATAAAAAATGTAATAGATGGGAAAATACTTTGAAAAAAAATGAAAGTACTTGCCATTCTGTCCTGGACTGAAAGATGACAATTTAAAAATATTTATATATGTCAATTCTTAGGAAAATATAGAATAAAATTCAAAGAACATATGTACTACCTAAAGTGCCTTAATGGTTCTGAATAAGCTCCAGAGAATATTGCAGATATCTACATTTTCTTCCTTTTAAGAACAAGAAACTTATTTAACTTGGTTGAATGAACATAAGGCCTCGGGGATATCATTTCAGTGTCGCTTCATGTCATACCAATACATTAAAACCAGTGCTCCAAATATTCTAGCCCATTCAAGCAAGAAACAGTCACCGAAATAAAAGGCAATGTAGTTGCACTGCAGCAGAGTAGCTCCAAAGTAACAACTATCCTAGGGTTAGTCATGTGAATATTTAGAATAAATGAAAAAGTAATGAAATAAAAATGTAAAGAAGCAAACTCTGAATACACTTAAATACATACAAAATAATCAATTTGTAAGTAATGCAGACTCAGATACCAATTAACAGTAAGAATGTTTAGAAGGTAGAAAAAGGACTCCTAATATAAAATTTAATTCTCCTGTTTTTCAATTGGTCCCCTAGATCTGTTTTTGTGGAAAGTAAAGGAATGAGTCTAGTGAACATCTGTAATACCCAGCTGCACACTGGCATTTGGGTAAGATTTGATTGATGGTGTACTTGAATGTAGATTTACAAATGTGGCCCAAGGCCAGTTTCCCCTTATTTCAACAATGAAGCACTCTAAGTCTTAATATTAAGTGTTTACTGGAATGAAGTATAGAGAAGTAAGTTCTAGCATGCAGAGAATAAAAATGAGTGAATTAATCAGTGTTACTATCCCCCCTTAGGTCCCCAAGCTTATTATGGATATTCTACCCATGAAATGGCAGCTACTCAGCAGTGCAGAAAAATAGCCTTACACAGACTGCCAGTGCTATTACCTAGGCTTCCAGCTGGATATTCTTGAAAGTTCTGTTTTGCCTATTAATCCCATGTGTCTCCCGTCCTTGGAAGTTTAGGTTCTCCCTTTGTTAAATTTTAAAACACAAGTTAAGGTGTAAATATAGAACATGGTTTGATTGGAGGCTCCTACAAGAGCAATCAAAACCTTATGGTCTGGACAGGATTTACGAGTATGGGAATTTCTGTAGAGTAATAAGCACAAGATTTTTACTCTTAACTAAAATCTGCACATTTGTCGATATAGAAAAGAAAGAAAACTTTGTGAATTCTACTTTCAAACCTATTTGAAATTAATTGTATCAACTATTATTTTGAAAATTTTCAAAAAATATGAAGGCATGGTTAAACTTCACCATCTGATAAATGATAACATATAGTCATCATTGACAGATGTGGAAAAATCAAATTCATGTTCTTAACTTACTAGAATCACTAGAGTTTTTAGAAATTTGTCTTTATTTTGTTCCTGGAAAGACTTATCCATGAAGTAAAACATCTATAACATCATATTTTTGTGCATGTGTGTAAATATGAGATTACCAGAAATGTCAGTTATTTAACAGTAGAAAAAAGATACTCTTATCTTACTACTATATATGCAAGCTAAAATTAACTCAAATTCTTCATTATTATTTAATGAATAGGAATCTAATGTGAATCCTCATAATATCAAGAGTACCTCTTAGTGATAACAAGTGACTCATTTTTATTCCCGGAGTGTTCTCTTTGGAAATGTATTGGTTGAACATATTTTTCTATTTTTATATCTAGTTTTCTTTATTTTTTGCATATTGTTTACCAATGCAAATTATAACAATAAGATAACTACATATCTTCAGAGTTCTTTTGATTGAACAAAGCTTTATTTTAAACATTCATTAAAATCATAATAACAGGAATTATTTAAAATATATAGGATGAGAAGTTATATTCAAATTAGCTGCACAGTGGATCACATTTACAAGCTAGATAATGGATAGTAACAAAGTTAGAGTTGGAACGCTGAAAGTCTAACCACACTTGGAGATTTTTCCATATTTTCATTATTGCTTAATTCCAAAGCATGCCTCAAATTCCTTTTTCACTCATTTATGATATGTCAAATAATTTTACTGAATAAAGCTAGATCATATTTATCTTATTGAATCTTCTCAATGATCAAAATGATCAAAACATGGATTAAATTACACAATATGAAAATTGTTATTCAAAACAAATTAACTTCTAAAACTTTGAACATGATTTTTACTATTGTTATTTTAAAAACAGAAAAAAAATATCTAGGGTTATTCTACTCTCTTCCTTCAAAGTATAACTGATAGTATGAGTAACTATTAGACTTTACAGGGAAAGGAATAAAATTCCAACAATTATTTAGGAAAAATAAAAATTTAAAAATGTCTGTATGCTCAATAAGATATATGCACATATAAATACAAAAGAATATTTCATACAATCTATTTTGAGTGTCTCCCCAAGTATATAAAGTTAATATGAATAATTCTAAATATTTAACTGTTGTTCCAGTTTGATAACCAGATGAAACATTTAATTTAAAGAAAAAAAACAATTGGGGTAAGAGTTGTGGCTCAGTGGTAGCACCTTTGCTGAGTATGTGTGAGGCACTGGATTTAATTCTCAGCACTACATAAAAATAAATAAATAAAATAAAGGTATTGGGTCCATCTACAAATAAAAAGAAAACAAGAAAAAAGTAAAATAATCATGAATTAGTGAAAATAAAATAGAACAAGTAAATTAATGTTTGCTGACCTTAATTTTGTGAAGTTATTTTAACTTGATGTCACAGAGAAAGAAACAAAAATTCATCCAGAGTAATGCAGTTGTGTGGATTTTGAATAAGAAAAAAGAAACTTGTTTAATAGTAAAAGTAAATGTAAGTGAAGGTTAAAAACAAAGATTAGATACTGAGATAAAGTACTTTATACTTCTGAACTTGAGAAATGCCAGGATTATTTTATTGCAATTACTTTTTGTAGGCCCATTACTTTCACATTTCAGTTGTCATGATGATTTTAATTGTATAGCATCCATCATAAATTCAAAAGGGCAAACATCACGGTCCATTTGAAAAGGAGAGTTTGATAATTTACAGAAAAGAAACAAAAATTCAAAACACACACTAGACTTATACAGAATTCTTAACCTTTTAATTCATCCAACCATCTTGTTCATTCCACAACCTGAGATAATGAAAACTGAATTTTAAGTTATTTCCATCTAGGCTTTCTAAAGCCATACAGTTTCACTCTGAAAACATTGAAAAGTAATTATAGATGACTGAGATGTTCTACATTTGCAACTTTAACTCTTGATACATTTTTCAATGATTTATAAGTGAATTGTTCATCCATGAATGAAATATTATGCTCTGATTCAAAAATTCTTATGAAAGATGGAATTTTAATTTTAGCCTACGTCTATCAATCAATAGAATGAAGGAAATTTGTTGATTGAAAATTCTATTTTGTAATAATATTATTTTCTCTTATTATATTAATAATACAAAAGTATCAAGATCTACTATGAGATAGGGTAATGATAAACTATGAATAAATGTTTTCCATGAGTACTTTATAAGTCCAATGCCACCAGTATCTAAATTTGAAAGAAGAAGAGGAGGAAGAGAAGCAGGATGAAAGGAAAAGAGGAGGAAAATAATACTTACAGGGTAGAAGAGGATGGAAAAAATGAAATCAGACATGGAAAAGGGATTATAGCCAAGTTACATAAGTGAATTTTGTGGCACTGTATATAAATTTATAAAGGTGATTATGAAGCATGTTTACATAATAACAAGGATGAAGCTGCAATGCATGGCAAATTATCTCACTATTCTTATTTCTACTCACTGTTATTTCTAACAAATTGTTTACACTCGTTTTACTTCTATTAAAAGCAATGACTAAGAAAATTAATTTTTATTATATTAGTAACAGAAGGTCTACTCTGTCATGCTTTAACATGACATTATACATATAGAAGCTAAATGAGATAGTTAAATATATTTGGATATACTGTTTTAAATACCAGCAAGTTATCTGACATTAGCATTGGATTGCATGATCCATGCTTTTTTATACTGTTTGATAGTCCTGAGGGAATAGAGCACCCATTTTAAATGTTGAACAAGTGACTCTAAGGCTTTAACTCCTTCCCATGATGTATAGGGAAAATCTTGAAATGATGCTATGAGACAGGTCAGCGGGAGCCAGGTAATAGTCAGAATCAATGGATCCTTTAATTTTTATTTTAAGTAAATAATTTCAGTATTTGAATCAGGTTCTAAATTTAGCTTAAAGGTAAACTACTCTTCAGTTCATGCCTTGTTTTTGAGTCCCTGTGTAGAGTATTATTAAGGTCTTCACATTCTGAATTTTTAAATCACTTGAAGCTATAATTTGGGTTTTTTAGCTGCAGAGTTTTCATTCCAGTTTTAATGTAAGAAGTAACTATACAGCTTTTAAGTGTTGGGCCTTGTCCTATAGTGCTAGTACCCAGGATCACAACATGATTTTTCTGGCTTGTTCTCCATGGGAAGGTCTACTCTGTGGTGCTTTAACACGACATTGTACATAGTGATCAGTACAAACATAAGTTAGGTAGTTACTATTTCTTTTGAAATGTATTGCAATAATATTTTTGTTTTACATTTTCTGATGCTCAATGATAATTGAGAACATAGCTATTTCTAAAAATAACAAATTTAAGCAGAAACTCTTCTGTTAAGTACTAAGAAGTGTACAAATCTTGTATTAATTTTATTTCTTGAAACTGTCTAAAACAAACTTTTGCCTCCCTTCCTCCACTCCTCTTCCCCTCCCTTACTTTTCACTTCTGCCATAAGATATTTTTCTCTCTTATCTTTCTTCTATGTTTAGTCAATCCTTAAAAGCCCTGCTCTCCACTTCTGACTCGATTTCTTCTTCCAGAAACCACCCTAGTACATACACAATGACCACAATGACGTCTCACATGTATACATTTGAACATCCTGCCCTTAGGTGGTGTATGAAGGAACAAGGAAGGACATTGGGACTCAGTCTGGGGTTTGACTCCATTGCTCCTTACTTCCTCTGTTCATCATCATCATCATGATCGTCATCTCTAATCAAGCTGTTCTCCCTTAGTACTTATTCTAATTACTTTCTCAAATCCAAGGACTTTACTTACAGAAAAATGTTCTTATTCTCTTACTATAACTTTATTTCATTCCCTGAATACTATGAATTACTTTCTAAATAGTAGTGTATTTGATAACTATAGTTTATAAATAGGATCCTGCATATAACATATCTCAGGTAATGAAAGTGGCTAGTATTTGGCTCCAGCTAAATTTCCTATTTTTGTTTTCAAAGGCCACATTTAGAAGGGCAGGGGAAAGACATTAGCAAGAAATCTGTTATGGAAATGTCAGTATCTTGAAAACCAAATGAGTTACAGGCTATTCAGAAGCATTAAGTCTATCCATGAACACCTTTCCCAGAACTGCCCTCAGCCACAATCTGCAGAATTAGGGTAAGCAGGCTTAGTGCAGAGATTGCTCATTCATAAGCAAAAAACAAAACAAAACAAAACAAAAACTGTTTTTGTTCAGTCTCAAGTAAAGAAAATATCTTATTATGCTACAAAAAAACCAGAACTCTTAGATATTAGTCTCAACTATGCTAAGTAGTTACATAAAAATAAATACATCACTTATCCCCTCTGGCCCTTACTTTTCTTTGCAAAATGGGAGATGTTTTTATTTACTGAAAATATATACCACTGAAATTTTGGAAACAGGAAACCATTTCTCTTTTGTTCTATGACTGAATGTGAGATGAGCGAGGGCTCAGAGAAAATTCTGTTTATGTTGAGAAACCACACTGTTGTGTCATACCACCACTACCCGGCCCCTTGAGCTACCACTGAAGCTGCTGTGAAACCAGGTGTCCATGGATGATTTCCACGTCATTTTGTGACACTGTTTCTGACCACAACTGATTTGATCATGGATGGATACCTAATTCAAGAGTAGGCAATCCATAGCCTGGCTAGTGTTCCAAGTGGCCTGGAGAGAAAATGCATGTGTATGGATTGATTCTTGTCTATGAATTAGTACAAAAAATGATACAATTTGAAATTACACAAGCTAAAACAATGTGAGAAAGCCATGTTTACCAGAACATTTCAGATACTAAAAGCTTAGGAAGGAACAATTTTGATAAATAAATGAGACATAGAGAAAAATCAGTACCATAGGAAATAAATGCCTAATAATAAGAAGAAGAGGATTAGAAAAAGAATCACACTGAGAAAATGTGCTAGAATAATTATCTTTGTGCCCTAATGAGGTTCTTAGGGTTCCCTGAGATAGGGTCTCACTGATTGCTTAATACCTCCTTTTTGCTGAGGCTGGCTTTGAACTCAGGATCCTCCTGTCTCAGCCTCCTGAGTCACTGGGATTACAGGAGTGCACCACCCCATCTGGCTACAGGGTATTTTTGAAGGAGAAAATTTTTCGGTTTCTCAATTACTGTGCTAACCTGGCTAGAAGCTCTCTTTCCGATTCTATTGATCCATCAAAGTAAGATGATATTTATGTTATGTGTTCTAGAGTTTTGTTGGCTTGATTATTTATCTCCATTGTCTTCTGATAATAGGACGAACATGTAATCTGATTAAACTTCATCTTCATGATGAAGAGCTGTATATTAAACAAGATTTTCAGCGTTTATTATACCTAAATTTTAAATTAAATTTACCCGGATAAGGCAATAAATCAAAGAATGTCCATCAAACTTTTGTTTAAAAAAATCTTGAAAGTTGATTTTGCTTTTGAAAATAGATAACCATGCTTTCTATACTGCATTGAAATGAGAGGTTGATGATTAATGAAGATGTTTGGCAACCAATGTTGAATTTATTTTTCATTTTAGAAAAAGAATAATACATACAAGACAAAATGAGAAATGGAGTTAGACAGAAGCTTGTTTGATTCACTTGAGAAAAAAAATATACATCAATGCAGACTTGACATTATCTTTAAGAGGAAATACAAAGCAGAGATTACAGGAGGCAGAGTCCAGGGTTTCCTTGGAAAATATTCTTGACTTTGTTCAGTGTTTACCAACAGCTCCTACTCCAACACCAAATAAATAGAGTCTGCATTTTGTCATGCAGGTATAGCTTCAATAGAAACTGCTTAGTTTGTACTAGCCCCTCATTGCTATGCTTTCTTTCCTAAATAGAAATCTGAGGCTACTAAAACAGAAACCATGTCTGAGAAACACCCAGGAATAGCTCCACTTCATACTTCGAAGCAGATAAAATTACTTTCCCTTTTTTGCTTTCTCTAGCCTCCTGATACTGCTGTCTACTAGGTTTCTGTCCAAAGTGCCACATTGCCATCCTTTTCTTACTGCTATTACAGTCTTTCCTTCATTCACCCTTTTCCCCAGGACTCAAGACACATGGCTACAAAACTTTCTCCTAATGAAATCACCTTTGCTGTGCACAATCAGTTTCTAAAGTGTAAACTAATTGGTCAGATAAATGAGTAGACACTAATGCCCTCCCAGATGACCACACTTTACTGAAAAAGAGCAAATAATCTTCATCATTTTATTCATATCCATATATGATTCTATAGTAAGAGATTTTGATCGACCTCAATCATACAGAATTTTCAAAGTATATGTTCTGTTTAGTGACATATTCTAAAAAATAGATAGTTACATGACAAGAATGAATCCATAGTACATGTTTTAAAATTTAAGATACAGTTAATATCATATCCCAGGTGATATCACATCACGGCTACATTTCTCAAAATTTCTGTTCTAGCCAGGTGTTGTGGCACACACCTCCCAGATACTTGGAAGGCTGAGTCAGAAGGATCACGAATTCAAAGCCAACCTGGGCAAATTAGGGACACCCTGTTTCAAAATACAATTTTAAAAAGTGAGCTGAGAGTGTAGCTCAGTGGTAGAGCACTTGACTAACATGTGTGAGTTCCTGTGTTTAATTCCCAGGGCTGCAAAAATAAATAAATAAAACAATTTTTTTTAAAAAAAAATCTCTGCTCTGCAATAGATAAGAGGAGAGACAATCTTTGCAAGTTGCATTTTCCAGGGTTCATGTCATTTGGTCTCCACCTGGGGTTTGATCAATGGCAGACATTGTCAAGAGACTAGAGAGTGAGAGAAAGGGAGAATCCAAGACACATATCTTCCTCTCTTGTTAGTCTGCAGTGGTGTCTTTGACCATAGCAGAGGTACTTCTTAGCCTCCATCTCCCTCCAGCAAAGTCCACAACGGTTTCCAGCACCCCACAGGTGATACTGATCCTTCCATTTTGGTGACCACATCTTGTCCTTTTGATACTTAGTCCCAGAAGAGGTAGCATTTTTTTCTGTTCTTAATTTTTAGGTCATCTTTCATTTTTCCTGTTTTGTGTTTCAGCTCTTTAATTATCTACATAATCAACTCCTTGAATTAAATCCCTATTGTTTATAATGTTCAAGTTTTCCCAGTTGGGATCTTCACAGGATGTCAATCTTGGAAATAATCATATTTAGAATCTACAGGCTTGCTTAAAAGCTATTTTTTTCCATAAAGCCTGTTTTCAAATTAATGAAATTGGTAAAGATGATGAGACTCGTTGGTACATTCTTCCAAATTGTTTATCTGAAAACAGCCAGATGGGAAGTTCTACCAAATGCCTATTTGTTGTAATGCCAATCTGAGAAAACAAAACGATTAAATCCCTTGGTAAAAATAGTAGTGTTTTTGTTTCTAACAATTTAGTCCTATTATGAATAATTATTAAATAAGTAAAATGAAGTAAATGACTAATGTAATAATTATATAGACTATTTGTTCAATAAATACTTATTGAATTAAACAGCATCCTAGAGCATTGGGAAAACCACATACTATCGTATAATTGTTGTGTTTATAAGTATTTATAAGTGTTGTGTTTAGCCTAGGTATAGAAAACCTAAATAATGCAGATATAAAACCTGTCCTACAGGTGTTTAATTAGTTAAAGGGTGTCATATGTAAATAAATAAGAGTTAGATGGGAAAATATGCACAGGTGAGAGTATCCGTGGGCGGGTATGAACCCTTGGTGGGATATATATCAGTATTGAGATATTGAGCAGGAAAGAATTTCTGAAGAGGTAGCATCTAAGTAATATTTTAAAGGACTTATCAAGTTACAGAATGAGAAGAAAGCAAACTAATGAAAAGGTTAGGATGTCTTTAAATGAGGCTGGAATCTAATAATTTCTGAAGGGTAAGTTAAAACCTATAGGTAGTAGGTAAATATGATCACATGTAGTTTTTGAGTAACATTATGAAAGAAGATGGAGAAAGACAGGCTGGTCTTTCTTTAAAAACTGATATAATTCAACTCCATTATAATGGGAAAATGAGCTAATACAGTAGGGCTGGAAATGGGAGAAAACATGTCCAAGAAATACTTAAGTGATAGAGTTGGCATGCATTATGAGTGTGTTGTATTAGAAAATGAGTAAACTATTAGGTGATATTAATTTATTATCAAGGTATTTAAAAATCCAACACTAGATAATGTTTTTAAGTGGGAAATCAAATACAAATTAAATGCCCACTGTAAGTTCAACATGGATGAAATTATATCCAACTTTACCATTGAGACAGAAGAAAAATATGATTCAGAGGAAAAATTCTAGAGCCAGAATCCTGAGATATGAACTAAAAAATATTAACACCTGTTTTGTGAATAAATGGATAAATTCATGGGCTGGGATTGTGGCTTAGCTGTAGAGCACTTGCCTAGAACATTTGAGGAACTGGGTTTGATTCTCAGCATCACATGAAAAAAATAAATAAATAAAGTAATTGTGTGTCCATTTACAACTAAAATTTTTTAAATGATAAATTCACAAATAAGTGCTAAATTTCAAGTAGATAAAGAATTGGAAGAAACTTAGAAGTATTTAGGTATTAGAAATTTTAATTAATATGTCGGGGCCTTTCTCCATGAAATAGGAATAGAAATAGTGCTTATTTGTTAGGGTTCAAATTGTCTTAGTATTTTTAATCTGTTATTATAAAATACCTAAGATTGAATCACTTCAACAACAGACATTTATTTTCTCACCATTTTGAAGGCTGGAAAGTACAAGATCAGAGTTCAGTTGCAGGAGCAAGTTCTCTTCCTGATTTACAGATGGCTGCACCCACACATGACCTTCTCTCTATGTACACGGTGGGAGAAGGTGAGGGAAGAGAGGAGGAGATAAATAGCATGAGCAAAATCTTTGGTATTTCTTATTGTAAGTAAAATAATCCAATTGAATCAAGTCCCTAACCTACTAATTTAAACTTAATTACTTCCTTATCCAAATACAGCTACACTGGAGTTTACGACTTTGACATAAGAATTTGGTGAGGACACAGAGATTTAGTTCATAACAATAATATATCTAAAACATTCGAAACAGAACCTAATAACATATCATCATCATCCATCATCATCATCATCATCTTCATGATGCCTAGAATATTTCAACTAGATTATACTTTGAGAATGGCATTTCCATAAAACTAATGTTTTTTTCTGCTTTGTTGACAACAGAATCTGAACTACAACATAGTAGATGCTTAATATTTACCAAAGTAATGAATACTTCTAATATGCAATATAATTTTTGTTTACTTTTCTTTTATCTGTTTATTGCTCTAATTAGCTTTTTCACTGCTGTGACCAAAAGACTGGAGAAGAACAACAGAGAAGAAAAAGATTACTTGGGGCTCTCAGTTTTAGAGATCTCAGTCCGCAGATGCCTGACTCAATTGCTCTTGGCCCAGGAGAGGCAGAACAACATAGTGGAAGGGCATAATGGAGTAAAGCAGCTCAGGACATGACAACAGGAAACATTTCTTGTTTTCCTTATTTTACATTCATGCTGCAACTTAGTCTTGCATTTTTCTTTCTCTTCTACACCTTATTCTCATATTCTTTGTAAGCTCTGTTTTGTACTATCTTCTGCTGTTTTTGTTACTTCACCTTCCTACACTCCTTGCTTCTGTTCATTCACTTTTCTCTTCCATAATCATGTTCCTTATACCATCTTGCAGTTATGTTTATGATTTTTTACTTTGCTTTCTTTTTTTTTCTTCTTGGCTCTGTGTCATAGGTAGAGATTATTTATCAACCAACCCCCATACTTTCTTGACACTGCCAACAGGTTGACACTTTCCCCAGTTCTCTCCCTAAGGGGCTTCTCAATTATTTTTTAAAGTATCCCCACAATAGAAAAGCAGAATATCAAAGATCCAGAGGTACACTTTGAATTTGATGGTCGTTTTAGAAACAAAAATATACCATTCTTGCGTTACTCTAGCCAGTTCTAAAGTTTTACCAATTAATTTGTACCTATAGACCAGACTATAAAAAAACAGATGTCAAAAAAAAGCAATATGAAAGGTGCGCATTTTCACTTTGGCCATCCAAAATGGGGTTTCCAGCCTTCTCCCACTGTTATACTGCCATGGATTAATTATCAATTTTATATAACATTTTCTGTTGGTGAATCAGAGAGCTCTTCTCTGAAAACATTATTTTACTTCCCAAATTAATTTATCCTTTTAGGTAATAACAGAGATTAAGATTTCAATTTATAATGTATTGGTAGATCTAAATGTATGCCAAAAACACACATACACCCTTGTACACACACACACACACACACACACACACACACACACACACACATATGTTTGACATACTCATATTATAAATATCATTTAAGATATAGATCTTTACAGACAAAAGAAATTAAAGGCATAAAAATAGGAAAAGAAGAACTTAAATTATCACTA